CAGTTTCCCGCGCTTTGTAAAAGCCAATGAAAGAAGCGATACCATCCCAAACAGTCCCATAGTACATTGCGACAAAAATAGCCAATAAGGCTATGTCCACAAAGGTCGGTTTCGAAACCCATAAGTTTTCGGCGGTCCACACGAAAACGATATTTATCCGCTAAAAACCCTCCCTGAACACTGCTTACAAAATATCTGCTAACAAACATGGGTAATACCAATTTCTCCAGTGAGAACCTGAGATTCGTCAAAATAAGCATAGTCAAGCGAGCGCGGATCTAGTATAAATACTGACCGATTACCTAAATGAGCGCCAAAGGCGCAAGCTTCTAGTGGGGTCCAAGTGCGGGCTTCCCCAGGAAATGTTCTGGATTGTTACTCCTTAAGTCCCCTTTTCTGTGTTTCCGAGTCATTCAGACAGGATATGATATTGGCCAAATTTTAACTTGGAAAGTGTTTTTATTAATAAAATATAATTTATTTTGAAAAATGTGACCGATTTCCATAAAACGGTGGAAACCGGTGTGGATCTCCGTGCCTGGTCAAGTGTGCGTTTGGGAGAGTTCTAGGGAAACTCAGAGAAATCACCCCTTTTGACCCCGGTGTCCCCTTCATATCAAAACCCCCAAAAAAATTCATTGAAGGATCCCTGACCACTCTTCCCTATGTCCCCAGTCTTCAATCAGGGAGCTTTTGCAACGACGACGGCAACGAGGACGTCAAAAAAGCAAGAGGTTTGATTAGTAAAACATCAACTTTGCACGTACATCACGCTTTTTGTACATTTCTTTGACATCATTGCACGACTACAGCGTAAAAATCCCTAATTTCACGTTATATTCATAGGAACGTAAACAAGCGACAACGAATTTTTCTTTCTCTTGCAAAACTTGCGTGTGGTCCCAAAAAAATCAACTCTAGGAAAATTCGCCTACATTTGACATTTTCAGGGAATTGGAATAAGCACGACAAAATTTGAAAAAACGTGAATTCCTTTTAAAAGTGACGTTTTCGCTGTCGTCCCCGTCGCCGTCGTCGATCGATGCTAAAGCTCCCTAATGTCATTGGTTGACAAGGCGACAGTCCTGACGAGTCTCGTCCCCTGCTTTTTTCTCTGCATAAGAGATTGAGTGCAAACGTTTTAACGCTACTGAAACAAATTGGACAAAATGGTCTGGGTTTACAGCGCAAAGTTAAACTGTGCGTCTTTACAGTTTTTAATTATGGCATATTTTAGAACTAAGTTCGAACAATGCAAATCAAATTTTATTCTTTTGAATTTTCTGTTCTATATTTACGGTTGCCAATTCCGGAATAAATGATATCGCAGGTTCCTCTCGCGCCACATATCTCACAATATGCACATCAGCAACTTGTAGAATTGAACAAAGGCGTCTTAATTTTGAATTATTGTAAGACAGTAGTAACCACGAAGAAAGTTTACAACACCCTTCAGTCCAACTCCTTGAAACAATGATGGGGGTGTAAATGAATTTAACTCGACTCCCAAGAGGGTCAAGTTTTCGTGACACCGGGTTGTTTTAGAGAGTTTTAGATCCCGAGTTTACCGCGAACCTCTAACGGCTGGAGGTCACGTGACAAGTCTTTCGCGCCACCTTTGAGGTTTACGACGTGCGTTTTCAACGTGGGGAGGTAGGTTTTCACGTATGTTATTTACCTGAAAGCTTTTAGCGTATAATTCTTGCTATATCCCACGTAATGATACAAAAATCTTGTGGAGCAAGTCTTTATCCATTAACAGAGGCAAAAATTCGGGCGAAAAGCTAAATTTGATAAATCCTATTGGATCTTGAAAACAAGTGCCATTCATGGCTGTTGATTCAAAATGGCGGCCGTAATCTAATCCACCGCCAATCTAAATCGATGTTTGAACGTCGAACCGCAAAGTTAGAGGTTCGTGGTAAACTCCGATCTAAAACTCTCTAATGTTTCAGTGCTGCGTACGTGTGTCAATAAGTCAAAGGAAGAAATAAAAAGGGAATACTTCACAATCGTTATTTTTTCT